AGGCGTTGAACTACACTTTTTGACCTTTTATCCTTTCTGGATATGGTTCTCATTGGCAATGCGAAGCTCAGCGCTTTCCTCGTCTCCGTTTCCATGCTTTCCCAGTTTGGGATTTGTTTTTGGTTGTCTTCGGTATTCTCTGTCCCTTGTTCCTGTGAACTGGTTCAGAACTAGCCTTCGTCTGTTCCTCCTGATTGGAAGAAACTTCTGCATCTTTCCTTTCTGTGAGGCGTTTTTCTTCATCGAGAGATTTATCCCCCGTCTTTGGGTTCGCCCCTTTTTGGCCTGGGCTATCTGAGGCCAGAGTCTCTTTGAACGACCTGTTGCGACCACTGAGTTTCATCTTGAAGGGACATGTTTTATTTGTCTCAGAATGAAAATACCTCCGACATTTTTTACACCAAGCTGTATCAGGACAGGCGATACTGAGATCGACTCATCCATCGTCGTTCAGGTCAATTATCAGGTGTTGTTTGTACCAAACTCTGGCCGAAACCTCCATACCAAATCTTATATTCCACAGATCGGGGGCAATTGGGTCGGCAAATGCATCGTGTGTCTTTATTATCCTCCCAAATGCCTTTTGGATAGCCCCTTTCAGGTGGGGTAAGACAGGTACTTGAATGGCTTTTACCCAAAAGTAGCGGTACTTTTGGGCCTCGTTCCACTCATACAATTCGTTCTCATTCACCCAATGCCCGAATCTGACTGTGTATTTTTTACCATCCAGTTCGATTGTGTCTGTGCCCTTTTTTATCATCCAGGCGGCTACTTCCCTGACACTTGCCACGTACGTCACGAGGTTTTTACCATCGCTACGGAACACTCCCCTCTTCGGGACGAAGTTGAATTCTGCAGCAAGGGCCCAACCTTCTTCGTAAATTTGTATCAAACGGTTCTTCACAGAGGCTGGCAGAGAGGTAGCGTCATTTTCAAATTGAACGGACACAACATGTTCGTACAACCATTCAGCCTGAATTTCGTAAAATTTCTGGTTAACCACCAGCCTGACAAAATCCTGCCCTGAGTCTGCTATGCTGGGGGCGAATTTCTCGGGGAGGATTCCCTTGGCATAGAAGTCTCCGATTATGTTTTTTATACGGTCTCTTTCCTCCCTGGGCAGGTCAGTACTTGTTGGCTCGTTATCCTCCATTTCGAGTATTCTGGCTCGACTGTTACACTGACAAGCTGGATGACTGCGAAATAAGCACACATTAACGGTATCTTCGGCTTGTGTTGTTGGGCTTGCCTTAACACTGGGGTAGCTCCTGATGCGATGTGATTCAGGGCCATGATGATCTCCTGCCCGAGGGTTTAGGCTGCAGCACATATCGATATTGGCCGAAATTCCTTTGTTAATGCATTCTTTGTGTTGTTGTCTTATTTGAACTATACAGAAAAAAAAGGGTCGAAAGACAAGAAGGTGCTTACTGTGCTGTTGGTGGATCCATACGGCGGAAGGTGACTCTGTTTTTCCCGTGCGAATTCCTTCCGTTGCACCTCGTCTCTTTGAGGGGGGTGAGGGCAGGATCGACAATCCTGGGAGACTAAGGGGCATCAGGCCAGGCTACAACACTCTTGTCTCTCTCGCAGTGAGAGCCGGAGTTCATCCGAACAGGAGAGGGGAAAAAGTGGCAATCTGCCCTGATGCTTTTTATCCCCAAGATTTCATAAGAACTGAGCCGTTTTCCCCTAGCTGAATGTGAGGAGTTATTGGGCAGAGTAATCTTCCCTGAGTCAGTTGCTTCCCTCGAATCTAGGTGAGTTTAGGTCGACGTCAACCTCAGTTTTCTCCTCGCACTTCAATATGGGAGACGTCAGAACGAAATGAGGAACGGAGAGGACGATTACCTGGCTTGCTGTAAGAGCACCGAAATACTGGTTACTGTTATCCGAGATCTTAAGTCGAGTATGTGAATAAACATGATGAACTCTCCTGACGATCTTGTTGTCCGAGAATTCGCGATGTGACGTAGGTTGCCTCTCCTGTATGGAGGAGTTGGTCGCTGAGAGATCGTGTGCCCGGTCTGCTGTCCCAGTGTTCAACTGGGACTTGTGTTCCAGCTGGTGGGGATCATAGTCCGATACCTTCTCCGAGATTCTTCTCCTCCTTTCTCCACAGATCTTCACCCTTGGGCTGGCTCAGTCGAAACTGATTTCTATCCCAGGGATTCGACATGCTGCAATAGCCTCGTACTACGGCTTTCTCCTGATCTTGGCGTGCACAGTTTGACTACATCCCGGATACCCTGCTTACTTACTATCCGTCGCACGTGGCCTACTCACCAGTGTGGCTATGGCTTCCCTTGATGAGGACGAAGCCCACGGTGACTAGGCTACCAACGGCTAGAAGTTGCCTCGCGGACTTTTCGCCACCATGGACGCCCACTGTGAGAGACGAGTTACCGCTTTGCGCTATCGCGTGGTACCGCTCGGCGAATAGCGCAGCGCAGCGCAGCGATAGCGCTACCGGGCCCCTTCGCCGCCAGCCCGCCCTCTCTTTTTTTGGTTTCTCTGCTGTACCTTTTCAGATGGGCTGCTGTACCTTTTCAGATGGGACAAGGTCGCGACCGTCTGGAGAAATGGGGATTTGGTACTTGGCTGGTCACASGGCGCCATCCACAACTTGTGCAAGAACTTTTGAGAACGAAATTTTATCAATGCGAAAAATGAAATAGGGCATTTAAAATCCCTTGCCCTTTGCCCTTAATGGGGACAAGGGGCAACATGAAATCTCCCCTTCACAGACAGAGGAAACTATGCTTGCAGGGGTCCCCTTTAGATAGTCTTAGGAGTAGGTAGTGGAAGGTAAAAGAAATAGAAGTTGAGAGAAGAATATAGAAAGAAAAAAAAAAGAAAGAAAAAAAAAATCCCTTGCCCCGCGGTATTTGCGAATTTGGTAAAACGTGTGACCGGCCTTTTCCCCTTTTTGTTTTGGGGGGATTTGGGGAATATAGGTCCCCGTGTGAGTATGCCCTTACTCCTGTACCTTTTAGGATGGGACAAGGCCGTGGCCGTCTAGAGAAATGACCATTTGGTACTCCGGTGGTCGCATGGGGCCATCCACAAATTGCATTGTGCAAGAACTTTTGTGAACGAATTTTCAACAATTTCTGAAGAAAATGCTAAAAAATAAACAGGGCATTTGCGGTACGAAATCCGCATTATCCCCAAAATCCCACAAGAAATAGTGTCGAGGGTAGTCACACCACGATCTCATTTCCTTAAACTACTTATTCCTTACCCCATTTGCCAGCGGCCTGAGGGGGTTGGAAATTTGCAGTAACCTCGGGAGGTTATCCCTTTTTTTTTTTTTTTTTTTTTTTTTCGGGGGGGGGGGGGGAAACAAGGCTCCAATCTATTCGTGGGGAGCAGCACGTGCTGGGAACCGGGCCCAGCGTCCCATATGAAAGTTGACGTAGAATTTTGAAAGAAGTTTGAAAGTTTAAGATCCTGGGGCTAAGAAGAATTTTATGTACTGAGAAAATCACTACAGAAGCTTCAAAATAGGCAAAATTCGGAAAACAACTCAAAGACCTCCCCATCATATCCTCTTCACCTTACTCCGGCAAGACTTACTGCAGCAGAGCCACCATCTCCACTGCTTCTGTACCCTATTTCCATCCTATAAGCTAGCCCCCTCACTAGTAGGATGCTTGATATCCAACCATCTATTCATCTCGCTCAACCTCTTTTTGGAAAAATAACCCCACATAACAATCATGCCTCCATCGTCGAAGGGAAGAAACGCAGACTGATCTGGGTGAAGTTAGTGGCCAGTGGCCGGTACCCGCCGAAATTTCAGCACCAATCGCATCCACTACCAGCTTCCTCTTCCCCAATCACCTTCGTCCTTCCCAACTCCGTCGTGGTGAAGAACTTCAGAGAGCCTTTTCTCCGCGGGGGCCGAGCACCATCATCACCCTTACATTCATTGCCCCCACAAGAATCCCAGTCTCCGTCGTCGAGGTGGTGAACTAGCACTACCCAACGCCAATTGCGCCAGAGTTCACTCTCACCAGCCGGTACCCATCAGCCAGCTTAGACTACTTGACGCCAATCGCATATGATAAGAGGCCCCTCTAGCCGGTACCCATCGAACAACCCTATTTCCTCCCCCTCTCCGTCCTTGTAAAGAATCATTTGATGCCCCTGGCCCCTTACTTCAAAGCAGGTCCCCAAAAGTTTCACAAGATGCCCCGTTAGGTTTTTTAATGAGAGAAAATTGAGACGCCGAAGTCATTACCCGGCCTTGGCTACAAAACAACTTCTGACGACTTGACAAACCTCTGACAAAATATAGACTAAAATTAGGAAACCAGCAAACCCTAAAACAGACGACCTGAAATATCTCGCCTCCATCATCAAAGGGAAGGACCTTATTCACCTTCCCAACTCCGTCCTCGTAAGGAGCCCGGAGAATAACTTATCTCAACAGGTGGCAAGCATCATCACCACCCTGAAATTCCTTGCCCCTACAAGAATTCATGTCTCCGTCATCAAGGAAGTGAACAACACTGCCCAACGCCAATCGCGCTAAAGGTTGTCCTCAACAGCCGGTACCCATTGGACAGCCTAACTACCCAACGCCAATCGCATCTGTTAAGGGCTCCCCCTAGCCGGTACCCGTTGAACAACCCTATTTTACCCCGTCTCTATTCTTGCAAAGAATCCTTTGATGCCTTTCACCCTCTACTTCAAAACAAGAAAACCACAGACCTTATGAGAAATTTCATTTGACCATCTCATGAGCCCCCTGATCAAAAATCTAACGATAATCTAACGAGTAGAATTAGGTCAAAGTAAGAAAAATACAAGACATACTATTTAAGGAAAGAAATACGAAATATACGAATTTAGAATTAGGTATTAAAAAAACGATGTTCAAATTAGATTTCGAACCTCTACAATGGGAAAATTTAAGAAGAAAATCAAAGATAGATCATAAATATTCGGAAAATTTTGAGAATGACACTAGACAAAAACGATTATGTAAATTGAGAACTGATAAATCTTTGTTGAGAAAATTATAACTTACGAAGTTACGAGTTTCAGATTATGACTCTTGCTCACGAAATACAAGTATTAAGAACCCTGCAAAACACGAATTCCACATTAAGGATCGATTACATCCATAAACCATTTGAGATCTCACGAATCAGATTTAAACAAAACTAGACAAAACAGAGAAGACAACCACAATTCAGAAAAATCAGGGAAGAATCATGACGAATGAAAAAATTCACGATTGACACAATTTCATATTATAAGACAGTGTGGCCACACGCGAGTCGAATCATGATCCTGATCCAATAAAGGACAACCCCCCGTCCCTTCTACCTCAACCAAGCCACTTACCTCACATATGTGTAACCGGCTGAACGCGCGTTCACGTTCAAACGCGCGCGTTCATACCCCCCGGGGCCACGTTCAAACGCGCTGCGCGCCACGTGGCGCGAAATAATTGAATGCGACCCCAAGAGGTGCGCGCGCGCGCGTTACAGACTACGAGGTGGTGGGCCTCGTTCAAAGAACCCCAAAAGTGCAAAAAAAAAAAAAAAACCAAGGCCTACCCCCCC